CAGTGCAGATTCTGTAGAGAAAAGTGCTGCCAACCAGCTGGCAGCTGCACTTCCAGAATCTGTTCCCTGCCCATAAAGTATGGCCACGGAATCTGCCTGGGCCACCTTGCAGGATCATTGTCTGGGCCTCTGTTCCATGTTCTCTGCTATCTCCAGGGCTCGGGCCATCAAGTACCGTCAAGAGAACCAGGAGGCAGTGGGAGGCTTCTTTTCACAAATAGGAGAGCTCTACGTGGTACACCACCTATGGGGTAGGTTGGAGACACTCCAGGAACCTGTTTGTCCCATCACCTCATAAAATGTGGATACGTTTGTGTTCCTATTCCTCTTACATCCTAGGGGAGGAAGATGTATCCTCAGACAGACTAGCAGCAAGGACTCAATTTCACACGATGAAAGATGCTGCAGGAGACTAGGCAGGGGAAGACAGCAGAAAGAAGCAAGGGACTTTAGTGGCTTGGATAGACAATGCCCCTCTGAAGGGTAAAATATGACTCCCGAGCTGAAGGGTGAGGAAGCCAGCTGGGGGAAGTCACAATCAGAAGGAACAGCATGTGAGGAGGCCTTTGCTGAGTGGAGAGGAAGAGGGTGTGGAGGGAATGGGGAAGAGTGTGTGGATGGGATGGACGAGGAGGACAGCCACCAGATAGAAGTAGACTTCTAAGGCCATGGGAATGGATGTGATGGGAGGAAGCATGTCAGTTCTGCTTTGCCAAGGGTGCCTGGTAGCGAAGCAAGGTTGGGAACTGGGCATGGGAAGATGCTTACATTAGTGTGGGCAGGTGGGCATGAGCTGGCTTCAGGCAATGGCAGCGGTGTGCTCTGGCAGATTCATTGCTCTTAAGATTGAATCGGTGGCACTCAAGAATGAATTGATGGAGGAGAAAGGAGAGGGTAAGGGGAACATTCATACTCTTCCCTAAGCAGCTGTGTGTTCTTGCTAAGACAAGGAGGTCTAGGGGAGGAGCCAAGTCATGGGATTGGAGTGTAATCGTGGCCTCTGGGAGTGTTATATTTAGGATGCGGGTGTGGGGCCAGCCAGATGGTGGTAAGGGCACTTGCCTTTACCTGACAGACTGAGTTTGATTCCCAGGACCCACATGGCAGGATTAATCTGAATCCTGCAACTCATCTTCTGACTTCCACAAAGTCCTCACCTTGAATAAGTAAATAAATGCATAAAAATTATAAGATACAGATGCTCCCAACTTGAAATGTCACATGGGCACCAAATATAGGAGTTCGCAGGAGAGTTTGAGACTGAAAATAGAAAGGAGTTGCCAACATACTTATATGCTCCAAAACCCTTAATCCTTACCACGGGGCCTTTGTGCATGCATGTGCCACCACTGCCTAGCTGAAATTAATCATTTCAATATGTGTGACTGAATGATATTGACATCAGTGTTTGTTGACAGTCTAAGGAGGAGGTATCTGAGGAGGAAGAGATAGTAGGGCAGGGTTTGGGGCAATGGAAGGGTCCCTGTGCTGAGGAAGGGATCAGATTCTCTGAGGAATGAGCCTGTGCCTCTCTTCACAGCCTACAAAGATCTACAGTCTCGGGAGGAGACTCGAAATGCGGCCTGGAGGAAGAGGGGCTGGGATGAAAATGTCTACTATACAGGTGGGTGTCTCCTCTGCGGGTCCGTGGTGCCTTTGCAAGTGGTCTTCTGGGAGACCCGAGGACTCAGATCTCTGCAAGGCCAGCTACCATCACTTAATTACCTGCAGTGTGGGAACTCATTGTTTTGTTTGTTTTGTTGTACACCCAAATCCAACCTTTTGAACCATTGTCTTGCTGAATTGCCCAAGCTCATCTTTGGTGGACCTTTTCCCTCAGTCTTCCAAGTTGCTGTGATTGCAGGAGTGTACCATTGTGCCCAAGTGGGAACTTACTTTGACATGCATTAGTGGGATTTTGTCTTGGTAGTACACATACCACATGGTGCAGTCCATCCTGAGGGCTTAGGACTCACACAGGCAGGTGATACCAATGTGGGATGTCCCCCTGGTTCATCTGTGCACCTCCCAGCAGCTGCATCTTCTCCATCAGATGATACAGCAGATGCTGTCTCTGCTGCAGGGAGGACTTGGAGAATTAATGTATGGAAAGTGCTTTGCCTTGATCTACCACCAAACACACAGCAAATTATTTGAGGAATTTTTTTTCCTCAATGTGTCACCACTGCTAGAAGCCCAAAGAACCACCCATAATCAGTAGATACTGAGTCTTCACTATGTTAAAATGTAGTGGTGGGTAGTGCAGGCATATACATGAACAAGACTGTGTCCCTGACCTTGGTAAGTTTGCAATTAATCTTCCACACATCTGCTTGGTGTGGGCAACAGCATGTCTGCTGAAGTAGGTGCATGTAAGCCTTGCTATTCCAAATGTGGTCCCAGCTGACAGTACTGGTATCCACTGGATACAATAGAAATGCCTAGTTAGCTTTTCCCAACCTTGTGTGAAGTAGATTTGTGAGAATTTGTATACGCATTAGATTCTGAAAGTTAAGCACAGGAAGCAAGAATCTAAACTCTGGGCTGAAGAGATGGCACAGTGGTTAAGCATACACACTGTTCTTAGAGAGGACCCAAGTTCACAGCTGCCTATAAATCCCACCCTGGTAGCTCTGACATTCTCTCTTGGCCTCCATGGGCACTGTACTCATGTGCACATATCCACATATAAAAAAATTCAACCTCCTGGGGACTTTCTGTTGACACCCACACTCCTATGGACATGGCCTCCTTTGTGGTATGAGGGGGAGTTGCACTAAATCAAACCTGAGCCCTTGCAGCACTTTCCTTGCCATTTCTCTTTCTTTTTGTTTGTTGGTGATGCTGGGGATTGAACCCAAGACCTCACACACACTAATCAGCATTGACTTCATCACAGAACTATATCTCAGCCTTAGAATTACTTTTCTTCAAATCTTCTTAAATTGTCCTTAATGTGCCTTGTCCTTGCTTTTATATTATTAGACTTAATATGTGTTGTTTTGGAAGTGAGGATAGAATCCAAGGGTTCATATATGCTAGGAAGGTGCACTACCACTGAGCTACCTCTCTAGTCCTGTGCTAGCTGTTTTCACATATATAAGAAAATGAATAAAATTTTCTAAAATATCTAGATCATCACCACCTAAATCCTGTCTTACAATTTCAGCCTCACTTAGATTACAGCAGGGACCTTTTCCAACCACAGGTTTTGTGAGTTTTTAGGTGGGAACCAAGAGTGCTTGGCTTGCCTCAGACACCCTGTAACCTCCTCTTCTCTCTCCATAGTCCCCTTGGTTCGACACATGGAGTCACGGATCATGATCCCGCTGAAGATTTCTCCTCTCCAGTGAGGCCGGCATTGCCTCTACCTCCTTCCCTTTCTCCCTTGGAGTAACCTGGAACAGAGGAACTTCTGGGCCTGCTGGTGTAGTTTTCTTTCAGTTCTGGAAGAATTCTGATGGGTTGTGCTCAGCTTGGAAAAGATGATGTTTTCTAAGCACTTACAGTTCTGTCTATACCTGTCCCACCTCTCTCCCAGGCCAGAAGAATTTCTAATTTCCCTAATGAAGAATAGCAACATTTTAAGCATTCCCACATTTCCCCAAGGCTTCTCGTCTCCAGGCCAAGTCCCCAGCTAACACTTTGGACATGGCTTAGTTTCCTAACAGACGGCATGACTAGTTGTTAAGAGGTGGGGTGTGAAGAGATACCAGACCAGGTATGGCCTCCGGGAACTCCCTGGTCTCTGTTCATTAAAATGCAAGTCTGAGCCTTAAAAACCTGGAACAGCTGTAAACTCTGAAGTCATCAAAGTCTGGAGGAGACCCAGAATTCACTCAGAGGGGCTGGGAAAGGATGGAAGGGAGGAGGACTTGGGTATATGAGACAGACTTGAAGCAGGAACCTAGGAGAAGCTGGAACATAGGACTCAGCTTGATTTGAAACACAGAATTGGAAGATAGAGATAATGGAAGATGCTAGGAAGAGGACCCTAAGACAGATGGAGAGGCTTAGCCCTTTTTTCCTACATGATTCAGTTAAAACTTGAATATGTGTTCTAGCTCTTCTGCACTTCCTCCTTCCTACAGGCAAGAATACAGGCTGCGACCTATATTCTCATCTTGATTTCCTTCTTCCCCAATTTGACATTCTGTTAACATACCCTCGTTTTGCAGAACCACCAGGCCTGTGGAGTGGGTTCAGTGATTCTGGGGTCTCCTCAATGACCCTCATACCTCATGAGCCCCTGCCTAGCATGGTTTTGCTACCATACCAGGGAAATGTACTGGGATAGTTGATGGAACCAAATTAAATATTTACTGTAAATTGTGGTGTCTTCATCTGCAGTTGTATAAGGCAGGGCAGTGTCCAGTTGGCTGGGGGGTACTGTGCCCCTGATCTCTCAGAGAAGACATTATCTTCACCCCAGGGGAAGAGAAGGAACTATTTCTGCATAACCAGATATTCCATGCACGTTTCAAGCCCCCAAACAAGTAGGATTCACTTCAGAATTACCTGAGGTTTTCAAATACTGCATTAAGGCAGCGATTTTTGTCATGAAAAATCAAGCTTAACATGGAGAAACAGTGACACACTTGTGTGAAGGGGGAATGGGCGTAATATGGAATTATACCTGCCTAATTAAGTGCCGCCTTTGGTGTAGTGATTCTGACAGTGTTAAGAATTCAAGTTAAAGCCTTTAATTGCAGTGGGGTCGGGACAGGCGGGCCTGAATGAGTTAGAGATCAGCCTGATGTACACAGCGTTCAAGGGCCAGCCAGTGCTATATAATGAGAGCCAGTCTCGCACACAGTCAGGAGGCAAATCCACCTAGGGTCCCAGCTACGGCACAGCGACACTCTAGTGCTTCTTGAGCATGCCATGAATTCAAGTGACTCGGCAGAGAGCCCACTGCGCTTGCGCTGGTGAGGAATGGAGCACAGGCTCTAGGTCCTCATCGCCGCAGTTTTCCAGTTTTGGAGGGTCGATCAGAAAAGCAGCCACGCCGCGTACACGCCCCTTCCTTGCTTCCCAAGCTGCATCAGGCCTTTGTGTTTCACTTCCGGCCAGTAGCTCTTTTCTTCCGCTTCTCTATGGTCGTGATCCGGAAGTGGCTGCCTGGCTGGAAGGCGTGAGGACCATTGTGGTGAGCGAGGGTAGTGTTGCGAGCTGGGGTTGCTGGTCGGCGCGAGGCGCACGGGGTCTGAGGTGCTGAGGACACGCCGCGTATTTCCAGGGCTGGGGTCCTCACTTGCTGGGTTCCCTCAGGGCTCGTGGCTGTTTTCCCCCTCCTGGGACCTAACCGGAGCAGCATCCTTTAGCCTCCGTAGGGTGCTGATGGCTGTGGTAGTGACAACACCGTGCTTATGGTCCTTTTGTGTGTGTGTGAAACTCCCGTGTGACGTTTGGGATTTCCCAGGTTTTTCGCTGCCACTTTTGTGGCTTTTGTCAGAGGAGCCCGCCACTTGATTAACTGTCATTCACAGCCGCTAGAGGCCGGCTCTCTCTTCACTTAACGCGCCGCAGAAGACTCCAAGGAGTCGTAGTGAAAGAAAATTCGTGCATTTATTGTTGGAGCGAAAAGGCTGAGAGCGTGAAGTGTGGATGTCAGGAGGGGAGGGAAGCATGGCTTTTCTTTCAAATGTCCCCTGTTTCCTATCTAGCTGGCCTGATTTAGTTTAGTTGTTTCACTAAATATTTTACTTATGTTACTTTTAAGAAAAAAAACAAGATTTTTTTTTTTTAAGTTATACTGCAAAGGCCTGGTCAGTAAGAAGAGGTGCCACCTGCCCTGTTAATGAAGAATTTGAATGCAGTCTCTATAGTTTATTCTGGCCGGTAGCTCCCCCTGCTGGCTTCACATTCGCAAAGATCCTTCTGCCTCAGTAACTCACTCAAGTGTGGTTACTGATGTGTACCACCCTGTCTCAGTCCATCCTCCCTCCATTTTTTCCTTGGAGACAGGATTTTATTATGTAGTCTATGCTGACCTGTAAGCCACTTATGTAGCAAAGGATGATTGATCTAGAACTTCTCATCTTCCATCCTCTACCTCCATAGTGTTATTATTTCAGGCATGTCCCACCACAGTTTTATAAGGTCCAGGAGTTCAATGTCTTTGAGTGTGTTAGGCACACACACTCTACCAGCTGAATTGCATTCTCAACTTCACAGTCACTTTTTAAACTTAAACTTACTTTGGTAGAAAACTTGAGGTCTGTGTATCATAAACAGGAAACTGGTTGCATTTGTCTTATGATAATGGTAGAATTGCATAATATGTATAATGTAATGAAAACATGACTATTGATAAATTCTGTCTTGGTTTCCCTGTCTAAGGCTCTGAGAGAGAATTCATTTCCTTTGTGTTTTGTTTGTTTGTTTGGTTTTTTGTTTTGTTTTGTTTTTTAAGACAGGGTTTCTCTGTTGCTTTGGAGCCTATCCTGGAACTCTCTCTGTAAACCAGACTGGCCTGGAACTCACAGAGATCCATCTGCCTCTGCCTCCCGAGCCCTGGGATTAAAAGTGTGTGCCATCACGCCCAGGCAAGAATCCATTTCTTCCAAGAACCTTGGCACTTGTTAACAACAAAGTAGGAAACTAGATGTACTTGAAGCAATCAAAATTTTGTGTGATTTTTGTTTTTTAAGACAGTGTCTTGGTATGTAGACCAAGCTGTCCTCAATCTCACAAAAATCCACCTGCCTTTGCCGTCCCCCCCTCCTGCCCCAGTGCTGGGATTAAGGTGTTTACCATCACACCTAGCCAAAAATAAGTTTTTAATTGGAAGGGGATAGCACAGCATGATCACCCATACCTATAATCTGATTACTGGTGAGGCTGAGGCAGGAAGGTCTCTAGGTTGAATTCTGGAAAATCTCTTTTGTTTGTTTGAGACAGTATCTCCAAGTAGCATGGCTGCCCTTTCATTTGCAATGTAGACCAGGCTGGCCTCAAACTCACAGAGATCTCCTGACTGCTGAGATTAAAGGAATGGACTATCATGCCCAGCTTAATTCTGGAAAACCTTAAAGATTTATTTATTTATTTTTTGAGACAGGGTTTCTGTGTATTGTTTTAGAGGTTGTCCTGGAACTCCCATCTGACAGGCTGACCTGGAACTCACAGAGATCTGCCTGCCTCTGCCTCTGCCTCTGCCTCCCGAGTGCTGGGATTAAAGGTGTGTGCCACCAATGCCCAGCAGCTTTATTTATTTTTATTATGATGGTTGTGAGGTATCCAGTGTGGGAACTGAATGCAGGTCTACTGCAAAACGGTACATGCTCTTAACTGAACTGTTGAGCCATCTTTCCTATCCCTGACTCTGGGAAATCCTTTCTCTCTTTTAGTGTGCCCCCTAATAAGCCTCTGAATTTCATTAGAATCCATGTGACATCTATCTTTCTTTTTTCTTTTTCCTTTTTTCTTTTTGGTTTTTGGTGATAGGGTTTCCCTGTGTAGCTTTAGAGGCTGTCCTGGAACTTTCTCTGTAGACCAAGCTGATCTGACTGCCTCTGACTCCGAAGTGCTGCGATTAAAGGCGTGAACCACCACTGCCAGGGCTATTTTTATTTCTAATGTCAATTAGTTTAGATCCATTGGGTCTGGTGTGACAGAAAACATTCAGTAACAGATCTCTCTCTCTCTTTTGGTTAGTTTGGTTAAGATTTTGGCTATCTGGTTTGTCTTTCATAAGAATCAGCTCTTTCATTAGCATTTCTTTTTTTCTCTTTTTAAAAATGATTTCTTTTTAAAAATTTTATGTACATTGGTTGTTTTGCCTGCATGTATGAGGGTGATGGAACTTGAACTGGAGTTATAGACAGTTGTAAGCTGTCATGTGGGTGCTGGTAATTGAATCTGGGACCTCTGGAAGAGTAGCCAGTGCTCTTAACTGCTGAGCCATCTCTCTAGCCCTTTTCTCTCTTTAAAACCCAAACCAAAAACTTTTAATAATTCTTTGAAAATGTCATACAATATATTTTTCAATTATTACTTTTCAGTGTATGTGTGTTTTGCTAACATGTATATCTGTGCACCATGTATGTGCTTGGTATTTGCAGAGATCAGAGGGCATCAGGTACCCTGGAACAGTAGTTCAAATGGGTCTGAACGGTCAGGTGGGCTCTGGGAGTCCAACCTGGGTTTTCTGGAAAAGCCACAAGTACTCCTAATTGCCGAGCCATCCCTCCAGCCCCTCTGGGAAATCTTTAAAAGCTTTCTCTTCTTAATAGTTCTCTGACCTGGAAGAGCAACAATGTCATCAGAATCCAGCAAAAAACGGAAACCCAAAGTGATCCGAAGTGATGGAACCCCAAGCGAAGGGAAACGAAATCGATCTGACACTGAGCAGGTGAGATTAGCCAGGGTCCATGCTGCTGGAAAACTAGACTGTGACTGTTGTACCCAAGTCACAAGGATCCCCAAAGAGACCAGGGAGACAGACCACCTCTGCAAATGCACGACGTTTATTGATTGTTCTATCCTACCAAGGGAGGGACCCCATCTAGCAAGCTGGCACAGCAGTCTCCAGACGAGTGAAGTTCCCTGTCTACTGCTAGGTTTTAAAGACAAAAGTTAAGGATTAGATTACATCAGTAGGTACGATTTGGTTTCTGATTGGTTGACATTTGGGAACAATCAGGAGAATTTCTCTTATATTTTTGGTTGTGAGCCTAGCCTTTAATGGCTGAGCCATTTCTCCAGCCCTGGAGAATTTCTCAAAGTCATATTTTGGCATGAAATACCTGTGTACCAATTATTTTCATTGGTCAGTGCTGAGAGGGAATGTTCTGTGGTTTCTATGACTTTGTCTTGTTACTTAGAGATGGTCTGTTGTACATAGATAACAATAGTTTTCAGAACTGTATCCTGGAGACTATAGGGGAGGTGTTGGTCTCCCCTGTAGTTTCTTTTGTGGCCAAACAATTCCCAGAAACCAAGTACCTAGGAGGCTGGTGTGTGTGTGTGTGTGTGTGTGTGGTGGTGGGGGTGGTGGGGGTTCTGGAGTTTCTTTGTGTTCAGTTTTGGCCCTAGGCTCCAGGAAGCCAGAGGATCTGAAGTTTCCTTGTGTCAGAGGCCTACGTGCTTTTCTGTAGCCTGTGATGGTAGCTAAAGCAGGGGGCTGAGTGAGAGTCTGGTCCCTTCATTTCTAGAAGTGAAGCTTTTGAGTTTAGTTTTCCCCTTTCAGTGACCACATAACTAACTGCCCATGAGTATTCAGGAGCTCAGGGGCACATGTCTAGAGACATACTTTCAGTTGTTTGTACTAGACCAGGTGACTAGAATTCCCATGATTTGACAAAAGATGAACATTCACATCAGAGGCAGACCTATTGGATGGAATATGCACAGAGAGCATATTCCAGCATGCTGTTCCCAGCTTTTTCATGGTCCTGGGGTTTGCCCAGCTCTAGAGCTTCTGGGAGATTTCATTCTTGATACCAGAATCACGTGCCCACAGGACTTCTGTGGCCTAGGAGCTGTTGTCATCGGAGACCAGGCTGGCCTCGATCTCATGGAAACCCGCCTGTCTCTGCCTCCCGAGTGCTGGGATTAAAGGCGTGCTCGACCAATGCCCGGCCATCAATCAGAGTCTTCTATTCCTTTTATCTATTTCTCTGTCCTGGAATCTGTCAAGATGATCCATGACTTAGAATGTAGGATTTTTTGCTTTGTTTTGTTTGTCCAGACAAGGTCTCAGACAGCCTAGATTATCCTAACTGAGGGTGACCTTGAGTTCCTGATCCTCTTGCCTCCACCCTATCCCAATAGGCTTTCTGGCAATTAAAAAAAATTATGAATAAAGATGTCTTACCTGCATCTTTGTGCGCCACATGTAGGTAGTGCCCCTGGAGGTCAGAAGAGAGCATTGAATGGAGCTAGATGATTGTAAGCTGTTGTATGGGTGCTGGGAATTGAACCAGGTTCTTTGGAAGAGCACTGATTCTTTTTTAACTGCTGAGCCTTCACTCCAGCCCCGGGCTGATTGGTTTCTGTTGTTGTTTTGAAACAGGGTTTCACCATGGAGTCAAGGTTAACTCCAAGCTTGTATCATCATCTGGATATACTGGGGTTGCTGGTGTGTGCCACCATAACTGGCTTGTTTTTTGAAGCAGACTAAGGAAATAAATTAGTTTAAATTTAACTTAAAAAGCAACATGGACTTGTGTGCAGCCTGTGTTCAGGCTGTGCAAGGCCCTGGACTAGAACCTCATATCAAGAAACTGGAGACATTTCCTTTTTTAAAAAGATTTACTTATTTATTGTATATACAGTATCCTGCCTGCATGTGTGTCTTCAGGCCAGAAGAGGCCACCAGATCTTATTACAGATGGTTGTGAGCCACCATATAGTTGCTGGGAATTGGACTCAGGACCTCTGGAAGAGCAGCCACTGTTCTTAACCTTTGAGCCATCTCTTCAGCCCCAGAGATATTTCTTTTATCATTTGTATATTTGTTTAACTTGTAGGCATAAACTTATCTTTGTATTGATTTATTTTTTTTTGTTTTATGTGCATTGGTGTTTTTCCTGCAAGTATGTGAGAGGGTGTCAGATCTCCTGGAACTGGAATTTGAGACAGCTGTGAGCTGCTATGTGGGTGCTGGGAATTGAACCTGGGTCCTCTCGAAAAGAAGCCAGTGCTTTCAACTGCTGAGTCATCTCTTCAGTTCAGGCAAAAACTTATAAGCAAGTGAAGAAAATAAGTCCTCTTTCACCACCCAGAACTCATTAAAAGAAAACAAAAAACAAAACTGGGAGGTGATGGTGTACACCTTTAATCCCAGCACTCAGGAGGCAGAGGCAGGTGGATCTCTGCAAGTTAGAGGCCAGGCTGGTCTACAGAGTGGGTTCCAGGACAGCTAGGGCTATTACACAGAGAAACCCTGTCTCAAAAAAAAAATTTTTTTTTTTTTTTTAAAGTTTTTGCCTGTATCATGTATCTGCAGAGACCAGAGGAGGAGCTGGTTCCCTTGGAACTGGAGTTACAGACAGTTGTGGGTTGCAAGATCAGCAGGTGCTCTTAACCACTGAGCTTCATTACTCCAGACCCTCTGAATTAATTCTAATACATATAAATGGGAATTTATGGAAAGAATATAGCAAAGAGAAAATGAAACAAATTTTTTTTCCCCTTAGTTTTAGGAAATCAAAGTTAATGTAGAGTTTTTTTTTTTCTTTGCTCTGATCAGAGCATGGTTAATTTGTTTGTTTTTAGGGCTTATGTTGTAGTCCAAGCTGGCTTGAAGTCAACATTGTCCTACCTCCATCTTGTTAGTGCTATGATTATACGAATGTGTCACAATGCCTGGCTAATAGTGCTTTTTAAATTTTGTATGTGCCGGGCGTTGGTGGCGCACACCTTTAATCCCAGCACTCGGGAGGCAGAGGCAGGTGGATCTCTGTGAGTTAGAGGCCAGCCAGCTCTCCAGAGTGAGTGCCAGGATAGGCTCCAAAGCTATACAGAGAAACCCTGTGTCGAAAATAAATAAATAAATAAACAAACAAATAAATAAATAAAACCAAAACTAAATTTTGTATGTTTATGTATGTTCACATGTGTTTGGGTGCACATGTTGTATGTGTATGCACAAATTGTGTGTTTGTTTCTGTAGGCTCACAGTTGATATTGGGCATCTTCCTTGACTACTCTTTACCTTATTTATTGAGGCAAAGATCTGTAATTATTTGGATGAGAAAATTCCCTGGTCAGCATGGACAATGTGATCCTATGTTATTTGAAAATAAAATAAAAATCCAAAGTATTCACAATGAAGTTGTTTTGGGCTGAGGAATGAAATTATAGCCAATTTGAAAAAAACTGTGTTGTATGTATTTGGAGTATGTGGCACTTGTATGCCATGGTGCACATACAATAGTGAGGGGACCACTTTGGTAGTCATCTCCTTCAGCTAGAATTCTTTTAGTCCAGACAGAACTCGGGTCATCAGGCTGACCCACAGGCCATGTTTTACTTTGCTTTTGATATTTCTCTTGAAAATGAATTCTTGGCATCAGGCATGCATTACTCTGTAATTAAAATGAGACAGAGGTTCCTAATTTGGAAAGAAGAAGCCAGGCACTGATGGCTGGGACACCTTTAGTCCCAGCACTCGGGAGGCAGAGGCAGGTGGATGGATATCTGTGAGTTCAAGACCAGCCTGGTCTACAAGAGCTAGTTCCAGGACAGGCTCCAAAGCCACAGAGAAATCCTATCTTGAGATCCCCCTTCCCCCCCTCAAAAAAAAGAGAAAGAAAGAAAATAAGAAAAACATTTTTAGAGGCTAGAGAAATGCCTCAGCACTCAGCAATTAAGAGCTCATACTACTCTTGCAGAGGACCTAAGTTAAGCTCCTAGCACCTGTGTTCAGTGGCTTAAATAATCTATAGCTCCAGCTCCCAGAGTGTCCAATGCCTTTGGCTTCCAGGTGCACTTAACCACTCTCAGATACACATATATACATAATTTTAAAATAATTAAAAATAAATTATTGACCAACCTGACCTGGTCTACAGAGTGAGTTCCAGGACAGTCAGGGTTGTTACACAGAGAAACTCTGCCTCGAAATTTAAAAAATAAATAAATAAATGAAAATTTTATTTGAGGATTTCTGGGCAGTGGCATGGCACACTTCTTTAATTCCAGCATTTGGAGAGGCAGAGGCAGAGGCAGAGGCAGGCAGATCTCTGAGTTCAAGACTAGCCTGATGATCTACAGATAGCCAGGATTACACAGAGAAACCATGTCTCCGAAAAAGCAAATAAATAAATTAAAAGGACCAATTCCATAAATGATCTGATTTAGGATTTCCTTTTTTTTTTTTTTTTTTTGAGAAACAGTGTCTCACTGTGTAGTCCTTGTTGGCCTGGGGTCACTATGTAGACCAGACTGGACACACACTGGCAATTGTGATATTCTTACATAATGAAGGTTCTCATTCATATTGTCTGTGATCTTGGTAGGTAGACTTTTACCCTCTACCCAGGACCTCTCTTCTTTCCCCCACAGGAAGGCAAATACTACAGTGAGGAGGCTGAGGTTGACCTGCGGGACCCTGGCAGAGACTATGAATTGTACAAGTATACTTGCCAGGAGCTACAAAGGTTAATGGCCGAGATCCAGGACCTGAAGAGCAAGGGCAGCAAGGATGTGGTAAGGAGAAAGGCTAGACATACTAAACCTGATCTACACAGCTGGGGCTCCTTTTCTACTCACTAGACCCTTCCTGATCTTGTCCTCTCCCAGTCATGATTACAGTTGGAATCTGGAGGCTCCAGAGACCTGCCTGTTAATTTGTTGGGATTTGTCTCAACAGCCCAATCTCCTATTATAGTAATGAAAGTACAAGATAACTTTTTTTCTATGACTATAATTTGGTATTATCAACTTAATATTTTTTACGTGCCACGTATTTTGCTAAGCCTGCCTGCCTGCCTGCCTGCCTGCCTGCCTGCCTTCCTTCCTTCCTTCCTTCCTTTCTGTCTTTCTGTCTGTCTTTCTTTCTTTCTTTCTTTCTTTCTTTCTTTCTTTCTTTCTTTCTTTCTCTCTTTTTCTTTGAAACTCCCTGAGTAGACCAGGCTGGTATTGAACTCTTGCCTCTGCCTTCTGAGTGCTGGGGTAAAAGGCATATGCCATCATGCTTGGCCTTAGTCTTCTATTTCTTTCTTGACATTTCTTACTGTTCTAGGCTCCCTTTAGAGTCTGCTTATGGCCCTGGATGGGGTTGGCTTGGTCGCAGTTAGGTTCTGACCCGTCATCTGTTGGTGGTCTTTACCATTTTCTTTGTGCACAGGCTATTGAAATTGAAGAACGAAGGATCCAGAGCTGTGTGCATTTCATGACTCTAAAGAAGCTTAACCGATTAGCCCACATCAGGTTAAAGAAAGGAAGAGATCAGACCCATGAGGTAGCATTGAAATTAATAGCCTGACTTCTCATCTCTCTTCCCGGCCCCCTCTTTAACTGACCCTTTACCCCTTCTCTGACTTTGCTGCTGCTCAGCCCCACCACCCCCAGCCCCTGCTCACCTCATCTTTCCTTTAGGCCAAGCAGAAAGTTGATGCCTACCACCTGCAGCTTCAGAACCTGCTCTACGAAGTGATGCACCTGCAGAAGGAGATCACCAAATGTCTAGAGTTCAAGTGAGTTTGGGAGGACAGGGCTCTGACCAGCATGTGGTAATGCTTGTTCTTAGATAGACCGGTGTGAGTGGTCCCTTTATAGGAGTGTCAGTGGGCATAGAAGACTGCAGGATTTGGGGAAAGGGCCAGTGCATCACTTTGAGTGGAAGAAGTTCAAGCAGTCATTTCAAATTACACAAAGAACCATGGAAGCCTCTCTGACCCTTTTGAGTTTTATGCTCAGCACTTGTTAAAAGCAATTCTTTCTCCTCAACATGAATTATTATTATAATATTCATCTACTGTGGTATAGAATGCCAGCACCTAGTTGCCCTACTGAAAAATAACGTACCTGTTGGTCAGCATCTCCCTCTCCAGTGTTATTTTTGACACTATGACCGTTGAAAATGTATAAAACAACATGAAAGAATGTGATGCCCTACTCTATAATCACTGCTTAGATGGCAGTTGGCGAAGTCAGAATATAATGGAACTCAGGCAGGTGGCTACAGAGAAGGATCATGGGCTCTGGAGTTAACAGCCAGTCTCTGCCCCTCACTAGCTGTATGATCTTGGACACATTTGAAAAATAGAAAAAGAGCCAGGCTGTGATGGTACTCACCTTTAATCCTAGCAGGCAGAGGCAGGTGGATCTTTGAGTTCAAGGCCAGCCTGGTCAAAAGGGAGAGTTCCAGGACAGCCAGGGCTATGCAAAGAAACTCTGTCTCAAAAAAACAACAAAACAAAACAAAAAACAAAAACCCAAAATAAATAAACAAACAAAAAAAATGGAAAAAAGTAAAGTATAGCTAAATTATATAATAAGTAATAATTTTTAAATGGAGATAAAATCTCCATCTCTTAAGAACTAGATGATGTGAGGATAGCTTGTAATAGGTACTTATTTATTTTATTTTTGGGGTTTTCTAGACAGGGTTTCTCTGTGTAGCCCTATCCTGGAACTTTCTCGGTAGACCAAGCTGACCTTGAACTCATAGATCTCCACCTGCCTCTGCCATGGAGTGCTGGGATAATAGGTGTGTGCCACCACCACCCGGCATAGTGCTTATTACTGTATGGTCACTCTGAGGCTTATTTCTCCAGGACCTGAGCACTCAGTTACATTAACCTAGCAGAGAATCAGGCCTTTCTTTTATAAGGCTATCTATAAACAATCAGAAATTGAAGCCTCTAGATTTTCTTCCACATCAGGTCTGCTAATGTGATTTTTTTTCTTGTCTTATGCTTAATGAAGTGTCTTAAAGTTAGGCATAGACCTTTTTGTTTATTCCTTGGTGACATGTCATGTCTTGGTTTCAACATGACAGCATAAGCCTAGGTTGTGGGGATTCTGAGTCTCTTAGCCAGTAGTTCTCCTGTTAGACCAGGAGACATTCCTAAATTCATTAAGCATCCTTTTCAAGCCTTCAGCTAATTCGTGGATGATTAGGTTGGGCATCATGGGCAAATGAACTTGTGGTATGTCACTAATCGCCTCTTGTCATACTGAAATGTCTGTCACTGAGCATTTGCTGAGAGAATTCCAGGATCTTAATTAGCTATAGGTGGGGCTGCATAGGGATAAGTTGAACAGCTAACCCCTGCTAAGCCACAATTTGGGGTCCTGAAAATGGCTGCCTGATAACTTAGTTTTTGCTTATAGGTCCAAGCATGAAGAAATTGATCTGGTCAGTTTAGAGGAATTTTATTCAGAGGCTCCACCAAACATCAGCAAGGCTGAAATCACCATGGGAGACCCTCACCAACAGACCTTGGCACGTTTGGACTGGGAGCTGGAGCAGCGGAAAAGGTAGTGCTTCTTCCTTCCTTAACTCAGTAAGCACACAGTGACAGTGCTTGGTCATAGCCCAGGATGAGACAGAATGGTCTCCAGGATGAAAAACCACTGTTTTATTAATTCACACTGGATCATGCAAACCTGACCGACTTCTTTCGGGCTCAGTGGTAGATTTGCCTCTCATGCACAAGGCTCTTGGCTTAGTTTCCAGCATAAGGGAGAAAAAAAACAGCTGCACTGGAAGAGGGTTCAGTAGGTAAAGTCCTTGTTGTGCAAGATTTGGACCTGAGTTTGGATCCCAAGAACATGTGAAAAAGCTGCATGAAATGATGTGAGTCTGGGGCATAGAGATGGGTAGGTCCCACTGTTGCCAGCCAGCCAGCCTAATTAGTGAGCTCTAAGTTCAGTGAGAGACCTTGTCTCAAAAGGTAGGCAGAGAATAATAAAGACAGCTGGATTGAGGTCTGGTCTCTACATGTGCATACATGAATGAGTACACTCACAGGTGCGTAGGTGCACACACACATGCAAACAAATTAGTGATAAGTAATAAGTTATGGGGAGAGTCATGGAGGAAAGCAGGGGTGACAAACAACAAGCTATCATGATATATGTATGAGTAACAGTGAAACCTATTTGTTTGGTAACTGTATTAGTTATTTTCCTTGTTTCTATGGCAAAATCCCCTAACAAAAGCGACTTGAGGGGAAAGGGTTTATCTTGGCTCACTTTGAAGATGAAGCAGCTGGTCACTCACTATGTTCCTAGTCAGGAGGAGAACAACGCATTCCAGATTGCTGGCTTTCTCCTTTTTATGTAGTGTAAGACATACAAGCCCAAGGGAGTGGTGCTGCCCGATTTTAAAGCTTTCCGATACATTTTTTTTTTTTCCTTCGAGACAGGGTTTCTCTGTGTAGCTTTGTAGACCAGGCTTCCCTTGAATTCACAGAGATCCACCTGACTCTGCCTCCCGAGTGATGGGATTAAAGGTGTGTGCCACCAACACTAGGTGCTTTTGGATATTTTAACTGTGTGTGTGTGTGTGTTTGTGTGTGTGTGTGTGTGTGTGTGTGCATCATATGAATGCAGGGGCCAGCCAGCAGGAGTCAAAAGAAAGCATCAGATCCCCCCAAGAACTGGAGTTACATGTAATGGTTGTGGGCTGCCTAAAGAGGGTCGGTACCTAATTCCAGCACTTGGTAGGCAGAGGCAGGCGGATCTCTGTGAGTTCAAGACCAGCCTGGTCTACAAGAGCTAGTTCCAGGACAGCCTCCAAAGCCACAGAGCAACCCTGTCTTGAAAAAAAAAAAACATAAAAACAACAACAACAACAAAAAAGGGTAGGTACCTGAAACTGAACCCCGTCTGCTGCAAGAGCAGAGCAGCAGGTGTTCTTAACTCCTGAGATGGCTGTCCAGCCCTGCTACCCTCTTTTAAAGTGAGCTTTCCCACCTCAGTTAACCTAGTCAAGATTCTCCCTCTACAGTATTCCAGGAGGCTCATCTTCTAGGTGATTTTGACTGTGTGGGTGGGTGTGGGGGGGTGCTCACACATGTGGAGGTCAGAAGACAGCTTTGCTATTTTGTCCCTTCGTATGGGTTTTGGGACTTGAACTCTGATCATCAGGCTTGCGCAAGTGCTTTTATTCCCTGAATCATCTTGCTGGCCCTCCTAGGTGTTTCTAGATCTTATTGAGAGTCGGGTCAGTATTAACATCACAACCCTATTTATCAAGATGACACCAGGTATATCTCTGTATCTCTTTTAGACTACAATCTCCTGTCTCTTGTTATCATAGACTCATGGTCATTCCATAATGCAAAAATATATTCAGCCCATCTCTAAAAGTCCCCATAGTTTGTAACATTCTCAACACTGTTCAAAATCCAATGTCCAAAGGCAAGATTTTCTATATTGCCTAGACTGGTCACAATCTACTGCTCAAGCCATCTTCTCACCCCAGCTTCCCAGTGGTTAGAATGACAGGCATGCTACTACCATAACTGGGCATAAAAGTAACTTTTTTCCTTTAAAATTTTAATCCCTAAGGGGCTGGAGAGAGATTCAGTGGTTAGGAGTACATACTAGCTCTTCCAGAGGATCCTGGATTAGTTCCTGTCATCTGTTTCATTCAGCTCATACCACCTGTAACTCCAGCTCCAGGGATCCAATGTCGGTTCTCTTTGGATACCTGCACTTATGCACATATACCCACAACAAACACATACACTTACTTTAAAAACAAAATCTTAAAAAGTATTAATAATTGAGAGCTAAATCCATTTTTCCATTTTAAATGATTGCTATTTTTATTTTGGGTTTTTGAAATAGGGTCTTTCTATATAGCCCTGGCTGTCTTGGGACTTTTGATGTAGACTAGGTTGACTCTGCCTCTTTCAGTACTAAAGGCATGTGCCACCACCATCTGGCATGGACTCCTAATATTGTTTTTAATTTTACGTATTATTCCTCTGCATGTGCATGAATTGTATGGGTGTATGTACCATAATGAGTGTGTGGAAGTCAGAGGACAACTTTGGAGTTGGTTCTCTCCTTCCACCTCTACCTGCATTCTGGGTTGATCTCAGGTCATCAGGTTTGCAGACAGAGCAAGTGCCTTTATCCAAACTTACTGTGTAACCACGGGTGAGTCTGAACTTCTGCTCCTCCTGCCGCCTCCTCCCAGGTGCTAGGACTATAGGTAAGCACCATGACATCTGGATTTATGTGGTTCTAGGCAAGCACTCTACCAAGCGAGCTATATCTTAAACTCTTAAATAAATGCCTGCTATTGTGATAAAACTCAGTGACCAAAAGCAACTTGGGGAGGAGAGGGTTTATTTCAGTTTACAACTCTCAGGTCACTGAGGGAAGCCAGGCAGGAGTCCTTAACTGGAGCAGAGACAATGGAGAAATGCTGTTACAGGCTTGTTCCTCTTGACTTGTACAGCCTGCTTTTTTATACAACCCAGGACCCCCAGCCCAGGTTGTGTCATTGCCCGTAGTATGCTGGTCCTCTTCCAGGCCAATCTGATAAAGGCATTTTCTCAATTGAGGTTCCTCTTCCTAGATAATTCTGGTTTGTGTCAAGTTGACAAACAAACAAACAAACAAAAAAATAAAAAGGAGTCAATCTCAATCTGTCTCTCTCTCTGCCTGCAATGCTGGGGGTCCAACCCAAGGCCTTATAAGTATTTAGCAAGTGCTTTACCACTGAGCTACATCCTAGCCATGTAGATCTAACTTTGAACTTTGTATTTTCCACATCTGTAAGCATACTCCTGTGCTAGTCTTACAAAGCTTCAGAAGTATTGTTTCAGAAGGTTGTTCCACAATCTTCTGGGTATAGAAAAATCACAAAACCATTCCTCTTTCAGACTTTTTAGGTTGTTTCCATATTGTATTGTCATAAATAATGCTCTTTACAAGGTGGTTTTTGTTGCTGTTGTTTTTTTGGCAGGGGTGTGGTTACTTTGTTTTGTTTTGTTTTGTTTTGGGTACTGGCTTGTAACTCAGGAACCTCACACATGTAACCAAGTATTCTGTCACTGCACTGCATATAGCCCTAGACTGTTGTCTGTTTGTTTGGTTTGGTTTTTTTTTTCATGTGAGACAGGGCCTTGCTGTGTGATCAAGCTGGTCTTGAAGTCACTTTGTCACTCAAGTAAGCCTTGAATTTGGAATCCTCCTGCCTCAGTCTCTTGGGAGGTTGATGTTACTGACTTGCACCATCAACTTTTCTTTTTTTGTTTTTGTTGTGCTGGCTAATTTTTTTAATATTGTTTCTTTAAGACTACATTTGTTGTTTGTTTGTTGTTTTTTTTTTTTTTTTTTTTTTTTTTGAGACAGGGTTTCTCTGTGGCTTTGGAGGCCGTCCTGGCACTCGCTCTGGAGACTAGGCTGATCTTGAACTCACAGAGATCCTCCTGGCTCTGCCTCCTGAGTGCTGGGATTAAAGGTGTGCGCCACCAACGCCCCGCTTGACTTTACATATCTTTAAATATTTATTTATTATGTGCATTGGTGTCAGTGTGAGGGTACCAGATTCCCTAGAACTGGAGTTACAAACAGTTGTGAGCTGCCATGTGGGTGCTGGGAATTGAACCTGGGTCCTCTGGTAGATCAACCAGTGCTCTCAACCATTGAGCCATCTCTCCAGCCCCATACTGGCTAAATTTTGTCAACTTGACAGAAGCTAGAGTCATCTGAGAGGAAAGAACCTCAACTGAGAAAATGCCTCCATAGATTGGCCTGAAGGCAAGCCTTTGGAGTGTTTTCTTGATGAATGACTTATGTGGAAGGGCCCAGCCAGCCAACTGTGGTCAGTGCTAGCCCCGGTTAGGCAGTCCTTTGGTGTATAAGAAAAAAAAACTGAGCCAGGCAGTGGTGGTGCACAATGCCTTTAATCTCAGCATTCCAGGAGGCAGAGGCAGGCAGATACTGAGTTCAAGGCTAGTCTAGTCTACTAAGTGAGTTCCAGGACAAGCAGAGCTCTTATACTGAGAAACCCTGTCTTGAAAAACCAAAGGGAAAAAAGAAAAGTAAGGAAAAAGAAGTAAAATGACAAAAAGGGAAAGAGAATGAAAGGAAAAAGAAATGTCTGTTGTCTGGGAATGATGGCACACATTTGTAGTCTTGTCACTTGGAAGAAGGGTGCAGGAAACTTGTCAAGAGTTCAAAGCCAGCTTGACCTTGTTTCAAATAAAGGGCAATGACAAAGCTCATGGGATAATTGCTGCCAGGTCTGACATCTTGAGTTTGATCCCTGAAAACTACGTGATAGGTCAGTTGTTCTCTACCCTCAGAAAATAAATATAAATAAATGCATAAATAAGTAAATAAATGTAATGAAATAAAATAAAATAAATAAATGTAATGAAAATGTTTTAAGTCAACATATTTGAGGATTTATGTAATTACTAACTATGATAGTGTTTGTGTGCAGCTCACCAAAGGACTTGGCACATAGTAAGTGCTGGCTGTTCCAGGGAGAGTGTGAGAGTGAACAGCTATGTTGAGGTATCTCTGCAAGGCCTTTGTGACAGTGCCCTGTGTGCCCCTGTAGGCTGGCCGAGAAGTACCGAGAATGTCTGTCCAACAAGGAGAAGATCCTGAAGGAGATTGAGGTGAAGAAGGAGTATCTGAGCAGCCTCCAGCCTCGACTCAACAGCATCATGCAGGTGAGCATGGCTCTGCCTTCACCACAGACCAGAGGCCACAGAGCCCGCCTCACTCTGCGTTTCCCAGCTCTAGTCAGGTTACACTGAGAATGCTTTTTCTGGGAAAGACAAGTTATGTTCCAGAGTAAAGAAATATTGGAGGCGGGCATTGGTGGCACACACCTTTGATCCCAGCACTCGGGAGGCAGAGGCAGGCGGATCTTGGTGAGTTTAAGGCCAGCCTTGTCTCCAGAGCAAGTGCCAGAATAGGCTCCAAAGCTACACAGAGAAACCTTGTCTCAAAAAAAAAAAAAAAAAAAGGAAGAAAGAAAGAAAGAAAGAAAGAAAGAAAGAAAGAAAGAAAGATTAGGCTGCTGTGTTGGGAGCATCCACACACACACCTGGACTGCTGTTTATCCGTAGCCTTGAGGTAATGCTGACTGAGATTTTTATTAAGTTCAATTCACCCCTTTTCTGTGTGCTCTTCACCAGCCTCCTGTCCCTAGGCATTTAAACTTGCTTCCTGAGAATATCTAGTAGGTTCACTCAGTACCTCAGGAGCTGATGGTGAAAAGTAGATTGCTCCCTGAAAAGAACTTGACTCAATTTGAAAAGCTTCCACTTTACCCATATAGGATCTCCCTCTCTCTTGCTCTGTCTGTCTATCTATAAAATGTATATGTGTGTCTATATACATATACAGACACACACACACATGCATGCACACACCCATATTTGTGTATGTGATCTGAATTTTGTTTGTAATGCCAGATTTGGTCTAAATCTTTTTAGTTTTTTAAAAAGCAAGAAAAATGGCTAATGTAGAAGAACTTTGTAAAAGGATTCTAGAGAAATCATAAATCCATTTTTCTAGGACTTGACAAGGTCTGCCCTTCTTCCCTTCCTAGGCACGGAATTAGAGCTGTTAAAAAGAACTGTGTTGTTAAAAAAAAAAAAAAAGAACTGTGTTGTTCTAGTAGAGCTTCATAATAGGAGAAAAAGAACATGGAGCTGGGCTGCTGCTGGGCCTGGGAAGTTGAGTGAGGCAGGAAGATTGTGAATTTGAGGACAGCTTGGGATGAATAAAGAGGAGACTCTAGACTACTTAGACTATATTACAAGACTGTTTCTCAGAAAACCAAGAAACTGGTAACATGCCTTGAGGCCAGCCTGGTTTACGTAGTGAGACTCTGCCTCACACAAGTAAAAGAGAGATGGAGATGAAGGGAGAGGAGGATAAGAACAGAAATTAGCAGTTCTGGTTGTATGCCCTCTGCATTGCTATATATTATGTGTAGTGCAACCTGACTGCCTGATAGGTCATGTGCATCGTAGGAGCATACCACTCAGAATAACTAGATAAAAAGACCTATTACTGAACAATCCTAGGACAACTTCATTTGTGTGCTTTGGTTTGTAGCGTGTCTATATGGAGATTATATATGCATGAGTTTTGTGCTTACTTAGTAAAAAACTTGTAGTCACACCAAACCATTAAATTACTTTGCCAACTGGGAAGTTTTATTTAATAACATAAACTCGAATATACTCCCTTTTTTCCCCTTTTGGGACAGAGTCTCTATCTACCTCTCTACATAGCCCTGGCTGTTCTAGAACTCCCTATGTAGACCAGGCTGGCCTCCAACTCACAGGGATCTTCTTGTCTCTACATTTTGAGTCCTTTAGTCCCAGAACTCAGGAGGCAGAGGAAGACAATTCTCTGTGAATTCAAGGCCAGCTGGTCTGCAGAGTGAGTTCCAAGATGTCCAGGGCTACACAGAGAAATACTATCTCACAAGAACAAAAAGCAAAAAGCAAAATAAAACTATTACAAAGCATCAATGTGGGTAGACTAAAAATTTCCTTTTGTTGGTTATAGGCGTCCCTCCCAGTGCAAGAATACCTGTTCATGCCATTTGACCAGGCACACAAGCAGTATGAGACTGCCAGGCATCTGCCACCTCCCCTCTATGTGCTGTTTGTGCAGGCCACTGCATATGGGCAGGCCTGTGGTGAGTATGGGGGCTGGGCCAGGAGGGGGCTCTGGGAGAAGCAGCCATAGCCAGGCACCACTGCCTGCGCAGGAGAGTTTCCCAGCTTGACCCAAGAGCCCTCGGGTAACAGATGCTGCCTCCCCTTTGCTCCTTCAGCATGGCTGCTTGAACTATCTAGCTTGCAGCTTGACGAATGTGATGAATAGCTCAGAGGGGATGGCTTTGAATCTTTATGAATCTGGCTGTGTAGCTCTTTGGTACAGTGCCCAGACAGCCTGTTTAGGCTCTCAGGTGCTCACTCCATCAAGATATACTTGGCAGGTAGATCAGTGTCTCCTTTGTGTTTTGGGGGTGGAGTGCTTGGTGACTTCAGGTCCTAGGCCGCACTCCCAGGCTTTCACATGCCCTGAATCAGCTTGCATGACTTCGTGGTGAATTACCAGGTGAAAGGATGAGCCCCTGTGACTCTGCTAAGGTTTTTGAGTTTTTTGATCTGCTCCAGTGCAACTTTCACTTAGCACTAAACTTTTCTTCCTTGTTCACATCTTACCCCATGGCATCAGAAAGACATATACTATTCCTGTGCATGCTCCTGTCCCAGCCGTGGCACCAAGACATTACTGTGTCTTTTCTTGTGTCTCCTTGATCCGTCTCGCCCTCTCCTTCCCCTTTGTTCTCTTCCGTTGCCATCATCAGCTCATATGAAATCCTCCTCCCAGCCCCCTAGACAGGGTGAGTAACTTTCTTTTGTGTTTAAAGTTCTACCGTTTCCACTCTATTTTCCTGTCAAATTCAAGACTAAACTATTGAAAAGAATGTAGGTAAGATGTGTGACTCTGGTAGAGTGATTGTCTAGCATGTGTAGGGTGAGTTTGATCCCCAAGACAGTCTACAGTGCTCACTTGGGGGTAACCAGGTGGTTGGCATTGGGCTGGGCTGGTTTGTGTGTTATTTCCAGGTATAAAGCAGTAGTTGACTATTGGGGGAGGTTTTCCTTTCTTCCTTATGGTGTAGATGGGCAAATGGTATTAGGTGTGACATTCTTACCCTTAAGATAGAAGAGGAGTATCTAGAGTGTAGCTTAAGCCCTGGATTCCATCCCCACCACCATCGGGGGGGGGGAATGGACAGAGGAAGTAGAGTGTGGCTTACTTGCTCATAGCAGTAGGATCCCAGAGTTCCACATCAGGCCAGGTGTGTGAAACAGATTGTTAACTGAGTATTTGAGAGCCAAGCCCAAGTGAATCAACCTGGAGAGGATTCTGGTTTATCTGTTTCCTGAGTGTGGCTTCTGACCTCACTGAGCATTAGGTTTCTCTAAATGTCTATAATAATAGTATACCTGTATTGCTGTTGTGAGATTTAAGAATGTATTTACACTGGGCAGTGGTGGTGCACACCTTTAATCCCAGCACTTGGGAGGCAGAGGCGGCAGGCAGATTTTGTGGTGCTAGGGATCAAAGCCACAGCTTCATGTGTGTTAACTGTGTGCTCTTCTGTGCTACATTTCCCTATCCCTAAAACTAATGTAACTCAACATTTAAACCTTAGCTCATTTATCTTCTGCCACTCAAATAGCAGTTACTGTCTTTCAAGTCTCCATATTCTAGATATGGAAACTGATCAGTAAGATCAGTAAATTATCTTCCAGGTCACAAATCCAGTAATGAGTGGGACAGGAGTCAGATCTAGGACTAGGCTGCAGCATCCATGTTCTTTCCTACTCTTCTCCACTGCTGTGTGAAATGAAACAGTGCTGGCCAGTGACATGCAGAACAGAGTCATTTTTACAGAGAGTAGCCCATCATCTTTGGGGTGTGGATGGGTGTGGGCTTCTGGGAGAAGCCTTTTTAGGACAGATGGTGGAAGAGTCCTGTGGGGTGACATATCCAGGGTTTGAGTTCCTGGGCTTTGCACCTGTCTCAGGGATGCTTACCTGGGAAGCAGTACTCTGGATTATTTGTTCTTAGCAAATCATAGAGAAAAGATTTGAGTTTCTATCTCCTTCCTCTGTGTGGAGTGAGTTTGCCCTCCCCCTCAGTCGGCAAGAAACGGGGGCAGGTGTAGAAGAAACACAGCTGCCGAGTTGGCTTGTACTCAGCAACCTCCCAGCAGCTTTCCAAAGAGGCCTTTTCTTACCTCCAGATAAGACGTTGTCTGTGGCAATTGAAGGCAGTGTGGATGAAGCCAAAGCTCTCTTCAAGCCCCCTGAGGACTCTCAAGGTAATATGGTGATTGAGATACCTTACCCAAGGATACTAAATCACTACCAAAGGACCAAGAGTCCTTTGAGAAATAGCTGGACTGATGAAGTATAGCAGGAGGCCTGACCTTAATGTCAGTTCCCAGAGTCACCAAAGGCAGCCTTTGGATCTTAGCCCTGCCACTTACTAGCACTCACCAGCACTTTGAGCCTGAGGAAGGCTGTTGACTTATTGTAAAAGGTAGCTGGTAGCTGGTTACAGGTTAATGCTTGTAATACCCAAATTCTAGAAGTTGCAGTAGGAAAATTGCGATAGGTTTGAAAATTGGTCTATAAAGCAACTTCCAGGCCAGCCAGGGTGACATATTGAGACCCTGTTTCAGTGCCCCCTGCCACTCCTAAAAGAAAGATAAATTCCTCATATAGAATTATCATGTGGGTTACATGAAAGAACAGTCTTAACTTCTGCACACAGCAGCCCTCTAATTATACAGGCAGCTACTGTTATTTATGCTACTTTTACAAGCATACCACCAACAAAGGGTTTTATGCTCCGTAGAAATGGCATTTAAAATACTCTTGAAAAACAGGATGGGAGGCTGGGGAGATGACTCAGCAGGTAAAGTGCTTGCTGCTAAGATGAAGACCTGAATTCTGATCCCCAGCACCCACATCAAAAAAAAGCTGGGCTTTGCAGTACATGCTTTTAACTTCAATGATGGGGGTGAAGTGAGGCAGATCCCAGGAGCTGGATGGTCAGCCAGTCTTGCCAGAATGTCTAGCTCAGTAAAAGACTGCCTCAAAAATAAATAAACAAGCAAACAGGTGGGCATGGCACACACCTTTAATCCAAGCAGGTGATTCTCTGTTAGTTCAGACAGGGCTATATACACCCTGTTTCAAAAAACAAAAATAAGGTGGAGAAATGATTTAGAAGTGCATTCTGAGTACAACCTCTGGCCTCCTTATGTGCCTATATGGGCAAGTTCACACACACACACCAAACAAACAAGTCAGGCTGATAGGCTTATAGTCATTCTTTTCATTATGTTTTCTATACCAAGTATGAAGCAGGCAGTTAACTCAATTCTTATTTAAAGAAACTCATACAAAGGACAGACTGGGTGGGCCCCTCAGTATCTGTGGTTGAGGTTTGTCATCAGGGAGCCTGTGCAGTTGTCCACTTCTCACTACCTTTTCTGTGTGGCTTCAGATGATGAGAGCGACTCCGATGCTGAGGAGGAGCAGACCACGGTAAGCCCCATTTCCTGTTACAGGAATATCATGCAACCATGCTGATGTTTTCAAGAGCACAGTCCTAAAGCAAAGGAGAAATCTGAATAAGTGTCTGTGGGGACAGGAGCCGGGCAGCTGGGTAGCTGAGGCATAAGGTCTCAGGCAGCTGTGCTGAGCTCGGGGAGGCAGAGATGCAAATGGGAGATTCGTATAACTCATGATTGGCTATTTCTTTTGTCCAGAAACGGCGTCGACCCACACTTGGGGTTCAGTTGGATGACAAGCGCAAAGAGATGCTGAAAAGGCACCCACTGTCTGTCTTACTTGATCTGAAGTGCAAAGGTCTGACTGTACTCACTTAATTCCCATAGTACCTACGAGATTAACCAGTTGTTGGTGCAAAGAGTTTAGTAAGCTTGGCCTGTAATATTTCAGTCTCCTTTTCCTATTTTTCCTCCTTTAAAAAAATTTTACCATGTTTTTGTTGTGTGTGTGTGTGTGTGTGTGTGTGTGTGTGTGTGTGTGTGTGTGTTTGCATATACCACTGCAGCAGGCAAATAGAAGTCAGAGAACATGTAGGAATTGAGTCTTTCTACCATGTGAGTCTCAGGAATTGAGTTGAGACTGTCAGGTAGCAAGTGCCTTTACCCTCTGAACTGTCTCATTGACCATTTTACATGAAGTCATGTTTTTGCTTTTTTAATTTTTATTCTTGTGAGATGTGGCAGGGGTGGGGGATCTGCCTCACTATGGCTGTCCTAGAACTTTGTAGGCCCAGTGGCCTTGAACTTAGAGATCCTCTTGCCTGGCCTCTGATGTGTTGTTTCATAAATGATCTCTTGTCTCCCTGCTCTTCTAGACAACAGTGTGCTTCATCTGACTTTCTACTATCTCATGAACCTCAACATCATGACAGTGAAAGCCAAAGTGACAACCGCGGTAGAGCTGATCACCCCCATCAGTGCAGGGTAAGGGGAAGGCACTGGGGATGGGGCATGGCGGGGCAGAGAAAGGTGGTGGTGGTGGTGGTGGTGGTGATGGTGAGAGCCCCTGTTCTCCAGTCCTCCCTCTGACTATGAAAGGGTCCTTTGCCATGTTGACTTGTTATTGTATCCCCACGGCATGGGAGTCCTGGCACATCACTGAGATTTATAAGTGCTCTTTGATTGACATTTGTGAAGACCTCTTATGGCACAGCATATAAAACAAGTGATAACAGTATATTTGCTGTGTAGGGCAGAGACATAGGCTTTTGTAGCCAGTAAAATGCATGGAAATGCATAAATGAAGTATGGGAGATGTAACCAAATTGACAAGTTTTGGCCCTTCTTTTCCCATTTCAGACCCAAAGTGTCAAGCATTTTAGTTTCCCAGTTCAGTTCAGTCCCCAGATTTGTCCTTAACTTGGGTGGTAAGTAGAGGACTATAAACAGGTAGCGACCACATCCCCAGTCTTGTTCTGCAGTCCAGAGTAGGAAGAACAGAGAATAGAAAGAACCTGGGGGTAAACTAGCCTACCCCTAGAGGATCACTGCCCTGGCCTGGCCCTACCTGGCCTGGTCCTGCTGTCAGCTGGAGAAAGAACACTGAGGCTCAGAAAGGCACAGGCCTGGTGCCTAGTGGAGCAGAGCTCTGCCTATCCCTTCCCATTCTGGGAGAAGTCTCTCTTCAGGCCTCTGCAGCCTTTGCAGTAGTGTTGAACTACCTAGGGGCATGCTGGGTGCAGTTGACCATGTTCCCAGCAGAGGGAGCCCAGAACTTGGTTCCTCTATGTTCCACATCTCAGCTGGTTCTTTCATTCTCTGAGCATTTCTAGGACATGCTTTTTGAGAGGCTTGTCACCGTGTAGTCCTTGCTGGTCTGGAACTTACTATGTAGACCAGGCTGGCTCCCAAATCATGGAGATACTGCTGCTTCTTGAATTTAGGGTAGTGGGGTCCTGGGTAGTGTAGCAAGTTCCTGGCTAGGATATATAGTGAGATAAGACTAGCTGGCCAGCAAGTCCCAGTAATCCTTCTGTCTCTGCCTCCTCAGCGATTGTAGGTATGTACGTACGGCTATACCTGATTTTTTTTATGTGATGGCAGACATTGAATTCAAGCTATCATGCTTGTGTAGTGGTCACTTTACCAACTGAGTCACCTTCTCAGCCCCACTGTATAATTCTGGAAGGGATAATTTTTAAAATGGAGTAAAACAAAACAAATCAGGAAGGTAACTTATCAGTAAAATCACTTGGTATGTAAGCCTGATAATCTGAGTTCAGTTCCTAGAACTCCTGTAGAAAGCCAGCTATGACTGTATCTGTTCTTCCAGCAAGATGGGAGTTTAGGGCAGGAAAATCACCTGGAATCTCTCAGCCCAGCTTGCCTAGAGTACACTGTGCATGGCAAAAGCAGGAAAGACCCGCTTCAATAAGACAAAATACAAAAACTGTCTTATAGGTGGTTTTTTTCTTTGGACCACCAGCTCACAAAAAATGACACAGAGACTTCTTTTTAATTATAAAAGTTCGGTCTATAGCTTAGGTTTGTCCCAATAGCTCTTATAACTTAAATTAGCTCATTTCTATTCATTTACATGTTACCACATGACTGGTGGCTTTTACCTCTTGTATGTTTTGCTCTCTCTGCATCTGGCTGGTGACTCCACCCTCTTCTTTCCAGAGCTCTCTATACCTATTAGCATCATGAGCTTCAATGTCCTACCTTTCAAAGCCTCAAGTTTATACTTTGAGAAATGGTATGATAATCCTCTCTGCTTCACAATGTTGTGAGAGTCCACTGGCTTGAAGCAGGAAGCAGTCTGTGAAAGTTGGTAGTAGAACCAGGTGTGGTGGCGCACACCTTTAGTCTCTGTACTCGGGAGGCAGAGGCAGGCAGACCTCTGAGTTCCAGGACAGCCTTGTCTAGAGGGAGTTTCAAGACAGCCAGGGCTGCACAGAGATTGCTTGATTCCAAAAACAAATAAATCCAAAATGATGGTAGTTAACATCTTAAGAGCTTAGTGGCACATTGCCACTCCTAAATGCCCAGGTCCATTTTGAGGCACCATGTTGGTTGGCATTCTCACTGTGGTCTTTTCTTCTGTAGAGACTTGCTGTCTCCTGACTCGGTCCTGAGCTGCTTGTATCCTGGAGACCATGGAAAGAAAACTCCAAATCCAGCCAATCAGTATCAGTTTGATAAAGTTGGGTGAGTAAGCAGGGCTTCAACTTTCCCTGATTCTTTGTCTGTATCTGGTAGTTCAGGCCAAGCTAGAGATCTGTTAGGGTCAGAGGATCTTGGAGCTGGAGGGGACATCTTCCTATTCTTGCATAAAAGACAAAGGGATGTCATGGAAAGATGAAAACTTGGGGAATATAGGTACATGAGAGTTAGGGATGTGGCTCAGTAGTGGTATGGTGGGTTAAATCGCTAGTACTGCAGACAGCAACAAAACAGTATCAGCAATAAAGTGAATGGCACTTTATTTCTCTTGAATATTCAAGATTTTAAAGACTATTTTATGAGTGGGTAGAGCAGTGAAGAGGTCAGTAACTGCCTTTTTGAGATTTGCTTTATGAGGCAAAGGCACAAAGAATGACTATTGGAGATGAAGTTCTAGGTAGAGATTTGATGCAGCCAAGGAGCTTCAGTTTGTGGGACTGGGGTTGGCCTGTTTTGGGGACTCTGGGGAATGCCCCAGGGTATATAGGAGGGCTTTATTGGGGCCAGGCCGTGAGCCTACGGCCTGTGTAAGGGCTCTGCTCCTCAGATGCATTCTTAACTCATAAAATTATTTTATTCTGTCTTTTCTGCAGCATCCTGACTCTGAGAGACTATGTACTTGAGTTAGGTCATCCCTACTTGTGGGTACAGAAGCTGGGTGGCCTCCACTTCCCCAAAGAGCAGCCCCAGGTGTGTACTCTGGCCCTGCCTCCTTGGCTGAAGGTCTGTGCCGCTCCTCTTCCTGGACAGATTCCAGAAAGGCCTCTGATAGCCTCATAGGGTTTCGATCTAACAGAGGCTGTGATTTGACCTCCATCTACTCAGAGCACTAAAATACCCTACCTAGTGTAACGATAAGTTTTTACTCCATCCGACTGAGCCCCGCCGCCACATGGGCATTCAGAATAACAACCAGAGACTTATATTAATTACAATGCTGCTGGCCAATTGACTAGGATTTCTTATCTGCTAGCTCAGTCTTGATTATCAATCAACCATAATCATAAGACTTATCTTATGGAGGATGCCGGTGGTAAGTGCCCTCTCGCTGGCAGATCACATGGTGGCTCCAAAGCAGAGAGCAGGGGGAAGAGTAAGAGCAAGAGCAAAAAGGAGCACTTCGTGCTTGTCCTTGCTTAAATTCTGAATCTGTCTGCTATGTCACTTCCTGCCTGGATCGCCAGACTTCTTTTTCCTACGTTTCCCAGAATTCTCCTTGACTCCTAGTCCCTCCTAACTTGCTGCCTCATTGGCCAAACAGTGCTTTATTCAACAATCAATAAGATAAACATACACAGAAGGATATTCCCCATCGACCTAGTCTTCATACATTGAAATGACTTGGCCTTCCCTATGAGCTTATAAACCAAAGATAACTTGGTCTTGTCCCAGATATAGCACAGCTACCGCTTTTGCGGTCCTTATCTCAGGAACCAGGGACCATAGAAGCCTGCCTTTTCTCAGGAGCTGGTCACAGCCCCAGTATCTTGTGTTCTTGCCAGGGCTTTATCATTTGATCTGTTAAAGTGGGTAAACACTGCCATTCCCAAATAGCACCCACCTTGCGACATAACCGTTCAGTCTGTCTAGTCCAGGAGGGATGGAGGTCCCTGAAGGAAGGAAAGGGGAGCTCTCATATGTACCTTTCATTGTCATTCACTATTAGCACACAGTGATAGCAGACCACTCACAGAGTGCCAGCCACATGGAGACCACCATGAAACTGCTGAAGACCAGGGTACAGTCTCGCCTGGCTCTCCACAAACAGTTCGCATCTCTAGGTAAGCTGGGGCAGGAACTAGGGTCTGACAGCCATTTGGCCAACATAGGAATAAAAGCCACCTCCTTTCCTTCAGAACTTGTAAATCCTGATTACAGATCAAAGAGACCTGTGTTCCTGGCATCACTGAGCAGTAGATGGTAGGGCCAGTGGGGAGAGCTGCAGACCCCCTCAGGCAGAAGTCTGAGCTCCCTGCAGAGTCATCAGTTCTGTGCCTGCCTTCCCAGAGGACACAAAGCCATTGGCACAAGTTCACAGGTTCATCAAGGCAGCTTATCCTAGGTCCATGCATCACAGACTCATGTATGTACTTGGCAGGTATTTAATGAGAGTCTAATTCATGCTGGTACCCCATTTAGCCTGAAGGGAGAACAATAGGACTCTTGTGTTTCCTGAGCTCATATTCAGCTCACTGATTGTAGCTATACAGGGGTCACCCCATTATCCTTTCCCTAAGACCTACTGAACTGGTGCTTCCAAGGGTACAGCTGAGCCCCTTGGATTTTCTCCTAAGCTCCCAGGTGATTATGATGAGTCACTGACCTAGGCAGTAGCCACATGGCTTCTTTCAGTTCATTGGGTATTTACAAGACACTTGTAGGGTGGAGGTGAGGTTTTGGAGGGAGTCAGATTTTGGGGTATTAGAGTCACTGTCAAGGTAGGCACTGAATTTCCAGGACCCAGCTGGAGACAAGACCCCTCTTCCCCACCTCCAGGCCAGTTCTTTGGTTTCATGTGGACACTGATTTCCAGGGCAATATCACCTATCTATCCCTCAGGCCTTGCTCCCCATTCAGCATTGCCAGTATTACCAAGGTTGGATGACTGTCATCCAGACAGTGTTCCCTGTGCTGGCATATTTGTTCATTGAAACACCAGCAGGGAACTGACACAGAACACTGCAGTTTTTTTTCTGTCAAGGTCAGCTGAGAAAACACAGTCCTCTCAGCTATTTGATCTAATTAACAGTTCCTGCAACAGAGACACCGATGCTAGTTATGACTGCAGGGATTTGTTTTGCTAGACATTGTCGGCATTAAGGATAAAGCACCCATGAATGAAGGTGCTAGGTCTGACTACAGGCAAATAGCCCTGCATGAAGTGGGCTATTCCTGGCATGTAATGAGCGGGTACTTCTTGAATAACCAGGTGTATAGACAAGTGTCAAGACCATGGTAGCCTTCTAGCAAGCCACAGGCAGATTCTAGTTCCCAGCTGTGGTACCTGATTTCTACCTGTAATACTTCCTGCCTTGCTCTCTTTTAGAACACGGCATTGTGCCAGTTACCAGTGACTGCCAGTACCTCTTCCCTGCCAAGGTTGTTTCTCGCCTGGTAAAGTGGGTAATAATTGCCCATGAAGATTACATGGTAGGTAGAACTGTGGCCCCTATGATCATGTCACTCATCAGCTCCTGTCTCCATCCTCTGTCATCAGGGCAGAGGCTTTAGGGGAGCAGCAGCTCACCCTGGTTCTTGTTCTAGGAGCTGCATTTCACTAAGGACATAGTAGAGGCTGGACTGGCTGGGGACACCAATCTCTACTACCTGGCGCTTATTGAAAGGGGGACAGGTAGGTGATTGCTCTGTGGACCACAGGGCTGTGAAATAGAATATGTGCCTGGAGGTTTCCTGAAAGAAGCAAAAGGTCCTAAACTCTTCCATAGAGATTTACAAACACTAGTGGCCAGGGAACCACCCTTTCAGTGAGGACTTGTTCTGCAAAACAGGCACACACGTGTTGTGTCATTGAATCCTCACGTAGTCACTATGGTGGTGGGCTCATCCTATTTCAGAGCTGAGTCAGTCCTGGCTGAATCACAAGTTTCATCTCACCTCAGCTTCATTTTGGTTTTTTTTGTTTGCTTGTTTTAGTTCCCTGTAGCAGCCTACCTCATTTCTACCTCACATACAGAAGGGTGAGACTGTTACTCTGATTGTAAAGATTAGGTAGCAGGACCTCCCTCCCTCTTCTGACATCTGACCTTGCTGGTGCCTTTTACTGGAGCCACACAGATGCCATGCTTGGGCAGTTAGGCTGTTATCCCATCCCAGCCTCAGCAGCTGGTACCTGCCCACTCATCCCAACCCCCGTCCTCACAACTGTGACTCCTGAGCTGAGGAGTCTGTGGTCCTGTATTAGTCAGTATTTTGAATGATGTAAAAATCTTGGGCTGGGGATATAGATCAGGAATAAATCACCTAGCATACCTGAGGCCTTAGATTTTTTCCCCAGCACCACAAAAGAGAAATAAGATAAGTAAAAACAACATTAAATCCCCCAAGCTGAAAACTTTACAAAGGAGAACTTATTTACTCCTACATTTGTGAGTATGTTTGTTAACAATTTTTGTTACATTTACTTAGTGCATGTGTGTGTGCACTCAGGTCTAAGCAACACACACACACACACACACACACAGTTATCAGAGGACAACTTGAGGGAGTCTGTTCAGTTTTTTCCTTCAACCTTATGGATTCCAGGGATCAAACTTGGGTCATGATGCTTAGGAGCAGCCACCATTGCCTACTGAACTATCTCACTGCCTGTTTGTCTTCTTGAGAAAGAGTCTCACTGTGTGATCTGGAACTCACAGAGAGCCATTTATCTCTGGAGTGCTAGGGTTAAAACTTTGTACCACCACACTGCTTTGTTTTTGTTCTTGAAATTAGCTAAGGCTGGCCAGAAACCCATTATGTAGTCCAGGCTGGCCTTGAACTCCTGATCTTCTTTCTTAGCTTCCAGAGTACTGGGATTGGACACATGGGCCACCATGCCTGAGGAGCTCAAATATTTGAAGGCTGAGAATCAAAGATGACCCAATGACTCTCTGGTGAAGGCCTTCATGGCAGGTGAAAAATACAAAGACGTATAGAAGAAATCATGTGGTAAAAGAGGAAGCCAGAGTGATTTGGGAGCCATGATTGTTCTATAACAACTTTCTTGGCACTAACCAGAGTACCTTAGTCCTTTCAGAAGTGCCAATCAAAAGACATCTGGCAGCCAGGAAAGGGGCTCAGTGGGTTAAGGCCTAATGACCTGAACTCAATTCCTGGAACTTACATAAAAAAGCTGAATGGAGTGGTATGCAGCTGTAACCCCAGAGATAGGATAATCTTCTGGAAGACCCAATAAGTAGCATAGCTATGGAAGGAGAGCCCCTGCCTCAAAACAAAGTGGAACGAGAGAAGTGGTTTCTGAGAAACAGTCTTCTGCCCACATGCACACTGTGGCACGCTCCTGCACTCAAACACATACTCTTAATAGCAACAGGGGTCAAAAGTGTCATGGGGGGGAGAATTAATATATGGAGATATTTTATTTAGGGATTTTGAATGCAGATTTGATGCCAGGCAGTTCTGGTTATACTCAGTCTTATGCTTTTGTAGCTGTTTTATGATAGAGAAGTTTCTGTCAGAGCCTTATTTTCCTCATATATAAATTGGATTTGAGAAGCTGGGAACATTTGCCACCAATCCTAGTTGGTAATCAGAAGCAAGAGGATCAAGAATTCAGAGTCATTCTTGGTTATTTATTGAATTTGAGGCTAGCCTGGTATGTGGCTATGTGATATTCTCAACAGCAACAACAAATTTTTTTGTCTAAAAATTTATTTTTTATTTTACATACCAACCTCAGTTCCTCCTCCTTCCCCTTCTCCCACCTCCCCCATCCACTCCTCAGAGGGGGTAAGGCCTTCCTTGGGGACACAACCAAGTTGACTGGTATACCAAGTTGAGGCAGGACCAAACCCCTCCCCCAATAACAAGGCTGAACAAGGTATCTAACCATAGGGGATGGGCTCCAAAAAGCTAGTTCATGTACAATAGCAACAACAAATTCTTTAAAGGGAGGGGGGCACTGGAGAGATGGATCAGTGGTTAAGAGCACTGGCTGCTCATCTCAAGGACCTGAGTTCAGTCTCCAGCACCTACATGGCAGCTCACAGTTACCATCTGTAACTCCAGTTTCATGATGCATTGCCTTCTTCAGGCTTCGAAAGGGACTGTTGGTGCAAAGATACATGGAGGCAAACAACCAACCCCCCCCCCACACACACACACAGTGTTAAAAATTATAGTGACATTTCTTGAAGTAGCAGATTTACTCTGTTGACAAATGCCAGTAATTAGACCAGATTTTGGAGGAAGCAGAATTACTATACCTTACACTCAGCAACCTGGCAGTTTTACTTAGATTCTAAAACAGTACCAGTATACTTGGCAGCACTTAAATTAATGGGAGACATTTGTGTTGGCTTTGGTATGGTGTGGAGACCATCGTGGGAAGCTGGGTGATCACTGATTTTCTCCCTTTCCTCTGTTCCCAGCTAAACTTCAGGCTGCTGTGGTATTGAACCCGGGCTACTCCTCCATCCCACCCATTTTCCGACTCTGTCTAAACTGGAAAGGGGAGAAAACCAACAGCAATGATGACAATATTCGGGTAAGACCCACATGTGTGTCAGGAGGAACAGGGAGAACCCCTAGAAAGGTGGGCAGTGGCCACGCCTGCAGCTGCTGAGGCCATGTGCTTCAGTCCCAGAATAGGAGCTTACAGGATTTATAGAATGTGCTCACCCCTTAATTTCCCTGAGGCCCACAGCTTTTCCCACTCATCAAATAGCATTGTTAACTGGGTGCAGCATCCTTGCACTCCAGGGACTTAGAACTCACTAAGGGAGATGAGGGAGAAAAGACAGGCACACAGAAAGCTCAGAAAGCTGGAATCCAGTGCTCTGGTCTCTCAGCTGGAGAAATCTTAGTCCACCCCCAAGCCCAGCATGTTTATTACATAGAGTTGAACATGGAAGCGGGGTCATGGTACACAGATGGACCAAGAAGGCAGGGTTAGCTAATCCCAGTAGGAGCAGGCTCCAGGCCGTAAATATGCAGGGGGTATAAAATTATGGTTGATCAACATTCCCATTTGGATCAGAAGGGAAGGCTTTCCCATTCCTTTTAGCCTTATGTGGGGGAGGGGAAGGCTTTGCCATACCTGCGTGGATGTGAGGTTAGGGTCCCAGCTCATGATGACAACACATATTCACTCAGGACTTTATACATATTCATTCTGGATTTCATACACTCAGGGTTTCCTCTGTTCCCTACAGCAAGGCATGGTACTGCACACCTTTAATCCCAGCATTGGGGAGGCAGAAGCAGACAGATCTCTGTGAATTCAAAGCCAGCCTGGTCTGCATAGTAAGTTCCAGGCCATCCAAGACTACATAGTGAAACCCTGCCTCCAAAGAAAACAAAAAGTTTTCTTAAAATCTTGTCACCTGGGGCTTCTGTGAGATGGTAAATAAACTCTGGAAACATTACAGAAACACTCAGATTCAATGACAGTGAGTGTGCTGAGACTGTTGTTTAAGGCATTGCCTCTTGACAGGATTTGGTAGCCTATGGCCATAGATCAAGTTTTTAAAGCCTAGTGCCTTCTGACTTGGGACTTAAGATTTATCCTCTACAAACCTGTAACCCTTGCTGTAGGCATTTAGGGGAAATCCTTATAATCAGGGGTCTCTGGACAAAGCTGTGGCACGACTCTGTGTGTGTGTATGTGTGTGTGTATGTGCACTCAGGGGCCAAGTGTAAGGCTTGTGGTGTTCTCAGGTACAGCAATGAGGTAAAAGCCTGGCCAGTGTGGTAAAAGCCCATCCATACTTAGGAAGGAAATGCTGATGTGCTGGCTTCCCACCCATACAGGCTATGGAGAGTGAAGTCAACGTGTGCTATAAGGAACTGTGTGGCCCTCGGCCCAGCCACCAACTCTTGACCAACCAGCTGCAGAGGCTGTGTGTGCTGCTGGATGTCTACCTGGAGACGGAGAGCCATGATGACAGTGTAGAGGGCCCCAAGGAATTTCCCCAGGAGAAGATGTGCCTGCGGCTTTTTAGGTGAGTAGAGGGCTGGGCTTTTGTGACTCCTCATGAGGACATGGACAAAGATCAGAGTCCTCCAAAGACTAGGTCTCATTGGAAGGGCCTGAAACAGAGGGCGCCTGTTTCCATTCATGGCAGAAAATTGTGCTGCCATATTGCCAAGAAGAACGTGTTTTCTCCTTCCTGAGACTTACCTGCAGCTGGCTCACCTGTTCTTGGTCACCCCCTGGAGAAGGCCATCCAACTAAGGAAATTGCACCAGACCATGCTAAAAAGCTTTGGCTAAACTTGAGTGTTTTCTGTGGAAACAGCAGGGCCTGTTTACTTTTGATACCCAAGTGAACACTTAGGGTGGTACACCCCACAGTCCTAGTGAGCTTGCTGGCATCTTTGAGTGTTCTTTCCTCAGTGAGAAAAGACAGAGGGCATCCAGGCAGCATAGAAAAAAAACAAAACAAAACAGAGCTTCTAGAAGGCCAGCAGGTGAGCACCCTAAAGACAGAGTAGTCCATTCTGCCTAGCACCAAGCCCTTGGTCCTAGGCCTGAAGAGGAGGAGAAAGACCTTCTATGGGGTTCAGGGTGACTCAGATAATTTTTGTGACGTTTCTAGATGATTCCTGCTCCAAGTTAGGGTCTCAGAGTGTGTTAGCAGGCCTTGGCAACTTGTTGTGTAGAGTGTCTGGGCTTGCAGTACCTCAGGGTAGTTTTCCATTTTCTTGGGTGTTGAGGTTTTCTTTCCTGTTTGTTCCCTAATGTGGTTTATTTATTCTTTTTTTTTTTTTTTTATTTAAAAACTCTAGAGATGACTGTTAGATCTCCCTTCTCTTTTGAGCAAAGGAGTGAGGAAGGTGAGGGTGTTTGGATTATAATTCTTTATAATCTATCAGGCCTAGCATTGTGGCTCATGCCTAAAATCTTAGCACTTGGAAGCTGGAGGCAGGAGGACTGCCATGAGTTCAGCCTTGGCTACAGAACAGATAAAACAAAGGAGTTCTCACCTTGCTCTCAGTCTTGTTCTTGAATAGCCAGTTCTGACATCTTCCTTCCTGTCTGACACCTCCATTACCCTAAGGAGATACAAGGAAGCAGAGCTGAGCACCAAATGTCAGTCTGATTGAGGCTTGTTCCCCCCAGTGGGTCTGTGTGAGATCTAATCTCTTCCCACCTCTCCACCTACTCTAACACATTTGCAGGATGGGAGCCCCACACAGCCTGTGCTTATATTCTCTTAAATGGTTCCCAGAAGACTCATTTCCTGAGGTGTTGAGCTCTGCCAGTGCTCTGGGAGGTGAAAACATGTAATTGATGGGTGGGGCTGCAAGGTTCTTGACCTGGGTCCAGCCGACTACGAGTGCAGGGTGCTGGCTTGGTGTAAGCAGTGGTAGACCTGAGGTGCAGCTTGGACTGAGACCTGGCCCCTCTGCCTAGGTGTACCCTCTGGTTGGTGGCTTATAATGCCATGGAAGATCCTAGGCTCCCACCTATGAGATAAGTATCTCTGTGCTGAATTGATCAAGTAGCATATACTCCAAGTGTTAATGGAAAGATTAAATTGAGATGGAGAATGTTATGTGCCAGCATAATGCAGGCTGGATAAGCCCTCAGCCACTGGTGAAGAATAAAAACTTTCCTCACATCTTTCCACTCCCCGCCACCAACTCACACATTCCCCTAGTTACTTTTCTACTGTGTTAAACATGTGACCAAAAGCAATCTGGGGAGGAAAGGGTTTACTTCAGTTGTAGTCCTTCTTGAAGAGAAGACAGGACAGGAACTGAGGCAGAGATCATGGAGGGATGCTGCTTACCACTTGCTCACTCAACTAACTTCTTCCCATTTGACTCCGATGTGTGTAAGTTGACAAAAACAAAACAAAACAAAACAAAAAACAACTGTCCTGTGCCCATCCTTACTCCCATAGACCACGTCCCAGAGTGTAGCTGTTGTTTGGATGTCAGTCACGGACAGACAAACATGGAGAAGGAAGAAGTCCTTTATGTAGATGTTTGTCTTTGTGGAGGTGTGTGGAAGTCCCTCTGTTGAGACTTGGTTTGAGGACCCATTTTCCTGCTAAAATCTTTACAGGTTGGAAGTTTGAACATAGGTCTTGCTGGGCCTGGCTGTGACTCAGCCTTCCTGGAGCAAACAGGCTTTGGTGTGACACCTCTGGGTTTTGTGTTAGTTGCTTCCTGGCCATATACATTGTGCAAAATTTTGCCTCCTTTGCTTGTGTCTTCAGTTTTAAATGTTTTCTTCACTTTTCAATTATAGAAATCTAGTGTTTGATGATAAAGTTATAAACAGTGATCCAAAAAATGAGAATGTTCATGTACTGTCCCCAGAATGTCTGCTGCATTAAGGGATCTTCCAGGTTCACACATTTGTAAGCATATAGAGGCACTTTTACAAAAATGGTACCACACCTTAACCAGTGTGATTTGATTTTTCTCACTGTGCCCTGTGCCTGAACTGTGCAATTCTGACATTTCCCCCCATGACAGCTCCATGGCATGCTCTTGTGAATAAACTGTAATTTATTTTATTAGTCCAGGAAGCACGTTAACAGTTCTCTTTTCTTGTTTCTCTAGGGGTCCAAGTAGGATGAAGCCATTTAAATATAACCATCCTCAAGGATTCTTCAGCCACCGATGATGTCCCTTTCTACCTCTCATTCCCCAAAGCCCAACCCTGGGTCCTGTGTCTCTGCTCTTTGCTCTGGCCACATGTAATTCTTGATATTTTCCAAAAACACCAGCTGATTAAAATGTTACCTGGCCAAATAGTCTGTGTTTGCAGCTACTTGGGCTGACTGGAAGAACAGGAGGGACCATGGCAGCATGAGGACTATTTCTAGATGGTTTTTGTTTGTTTGTTTTGTTTTTTTCAAGACAGGGTTTCTTTATGTAGTCCTGGCTGTCTTGGAACTTAGAACTTACTCTCTAGACTAGGCTAGCCTCAAACTCAGAGATCTGCTTGCCTCTGCCTCCCAAGTGCTGGGATTAAAGGTGTGCACCATCACCACCCTCCAACTTGGGTGCGCTTTTTAAAGGTGGCTGAGGGATGTTGGTTCTAGAGAGGTGTCATCTGTTTGTCCACATCTACTTTGTGTAGTTTTGCAGGGACAAAGTATCTTGGTGCTTATTATCCTAGATCTGTACTTATTAGAAAGTTATAGGAGAAATCAAAGTCAGTAGTTTCTTTCTCAGCCCTCATTCTTTCTACTAGACCTGTCTTTGTGCCTATGATTCATGAAGCCCTGGATTTGATCCCCAACAACACATAAGCCAGCTGTAGTGGTGTATGCCTATAATCCTGGCACGAGGAGGAGTTAGGAGGGGCACAAACTCAAGGTTCAAGGTCACTGTCTGCTTCCCAGGAAGTTTGAGGCCCCTGGGCTACCTAACACATTATCTCAACAATATAACTCATATTTTTGGAAGTATAATCTAGTTTGCTAACTCAAAGACAAATTAACTGTACCTTTTGTTATAGTCCAGGCAAGATTTTTCAAGCTTTTCTCCCTGTAGAACAGTCAGTGCAATCCAGCACTTTACAAACACATCTACTCTAAGTAGATTATTCTTGACAGCATGGACTTCGAGTATAGAAACTGCTTTTTCTGCCTATCTCAAGAATAAAGATTTCAGGGAGCACCAGGCAGTGGTGGCGCATGCCTTTGATCCCAGCACTTGGTAAGCAGAGGCAGGCAGATCTCTGTGAGTTTGAGACCAGCCTGGTCTAAGGAACAAGTTCCAAGGCAGCCAGGGTAACACAGAGAAACCCTGTCTTGGAAGGAAAAAAAAAAAAGAAGAAGAAAAACAGATTCTGGGGAGCTTGGGGCTGGAAAGATGGCTCAACAGTTAAGAGGATGTACTGCTCTTATAGAGGCCCCCAAGTTTGGTTCCCACAATCTATGTCAGGTGGCTTACAACCACCTGTACCTCTAGCTTCCGGGGAATCCACTGTGTCTGGCCTCCACAGGCACTGGCACCCATGCACACCCCACCACCACCACCACTACCCCCCTACACACACTTAAAGATAAATTTTTAAGACAGACTGGGAGACTCCAAAACCTGCCTAGGTTCTTCATTCCAGCAAGAGGAGAATGGTACCTTAGGGTAGCCTTAAATGTCCAGCACCACTCAACACATAGACTCTTCCCTCTGACTACCAGAGGGAGGCACTCTCTGTCACAGGCCCTCAAACTACACAGGACTTAACTGTCTACAAGCTGACTAAAATCACTTTCCCAAGCAACTCAGCTGACCTAAGATGGGCAAGGAAGTATATTTTTTATATAACAAGCTCCCTAAATGCATTTTTCCCTGGCCTCTCTTTGAAGGAGTTGTACTTTTTTGTCCCCTTTGTTCCCTCAATTTTCTTGGTGATATAGAACACAGGAGAGCCAGTTTTTCTAGGTAGCTCCTTCTCTGCTGGCTTAGGCAGCTTGAACATCTGGGTGCTTTTTTTCCTGACCTAGTTGCTTGGGACTTAGTCCCTCCTGGCATAGTCTTGGTCTGGCTACTTTCAGGCCTACTGCCTGTGCTGAATAAGATTAAAATAGGGCCTAAAAATAGTTTCTTTAATGGCCCCTGCATTGCAGCCACCACTTTGGTCTTGTCTGGAAGACAGCCAAACTGACTCAGCACAAAAACTCACCTCTAGAAAGAAGCAGGGACTGGGCTGCAAAGACTGCTGTGAATGTTGGGGAGAGCTCTGTTTGCTACGAACAGCTTAGCCCTATCAGAAGAGGGTTTTTTTCTTCCAAAGAGCAGGCAGAGCAAAGGAATCCCTTAGTCTTACAGAGTAAAGCAAACTCGAGACAACCCAGCCCCTTCAGAATGCTTAGTGGAGCCACCCATGTCTATAGTGGGAAGAATCTCACAGCTGGAATTGTCCAGTCTTTGCAGTTTCTGAGCTGGGACACACCCCAAGCTGCAGCCCCTGCCAGCACTTGCCCTGCACCAGGAAACCCCCTTCATGTTCCTTGTCTTTTCTTTATTGCAGTGCCAGGGATCCAATAATCCAGGCCATCATGCTTACTAGGCAAATACTACTGAGCGGCAACCCTCAGCCCATCTGTCTAAGTGTTCCTACAGCTGTGATGAAGTTGGGGAGAAAAGGGTTTATTTGGCTTACACTTACACATCAGTGCACATCGTTGAAAGAAGGTCGGACAGGAACTCAAACAGGGCAGGAACTTGAACGCAGGAGTTGAAGTAGAGGCCATGGAATGGTGCTGCTTACTAGCTTGCTCTTCATGGCTTACTCTTACTTTCTCTGTCTCTCTCCTTCCTTCACTCCCTTTCCCTTCCTTCCTTTCTTTTTTTTTTTTTTTTTTTTTTTTTTTTTTTTTTTTTTTTGTCTTTCCAGACAGGGTTTCTCTATGTAACAGCCCTAAATGTCCTGGAACTAGCTCTGTAGACCAGGTTAGCCTTGAACTCATATGGATCCGCCTGCTTCTACCTCCCAAGTGCTGGGATTAAAGGCGTGCATCACTTCCTTTTTATAACAGAGAAAACTGGCTGAGGATGGAATAACTGTCCATGTTCCTTTGTCTCTGGAGCTCTGTCCCAGGTTTGAACTCAGAGTCTGTCTGCATCTAAAAGGCTTACTCAGTAGCTGTAGGCTAAAGCCTATCCAGGCAGGCACTTTTTCTGGGCTGTAAACCATTTCAATAATACTGTTGTTCATGCCTATATACTAAGAGGAACCTGGTGGTCAGTGTTGTTCTTTTGTTTAAAAACTCGGCAGATGAGCCGGGCGTTGATGGTGCATGCTTTTAATCCCAGCACTCGGGAGGCAGAGGCAGGAGGATCTCTGTGAGTTTGAGGCCAGCCTGGTTTATAGAGCGAGTTCCAGGACAACCTCCAAAGCCACAGAGAAACCATGTCTCGGGGAAAAAAAAAAAGAACGAGCTAGGTGGACTTGGAACATGAAACACAAGATACATTAACCATGGAGTTTATTACAGAGGTGGTGGGGAGAGAGGGGGGAAGTGAACAAGAGAGAGAGAGGAAAAGGGTAAGAGGAAGAGAAGAGAGCAAAGAGGAAGGGGTCCTTTACACCTGTGTGTAGACTAGCTTTCATGGTACCCTGGGCTGACCAGAGTACTGCCTGAGTGCATTCTGCCAGCTAACGGGCAGTCCAGCATAATGCCTGAATCCTTTCACTCCCACCTTTGCTTATTATTAAAAAGGTGGGGAGTTAGGCATGGCAGGTTAGGGGATAAGGACATCAAGTTCTCAAAACTACTTCCTGCTGATGTGGGGGGTGTTGACCATCTTTGGGGGACCTGAGAAAGCTGGGGTGTTGCCACGTCCTGGGATAGCTGGTTGTTCCATCGCTGTCCTGGCTGTATGGAACTCTGGCACCTCTTAGACCTAGCAAGATGTTAGCAGAGGTGAGGACAAGGTTAAGTTTAGGGAAAAAATTATTTTCTTAGGTCCTGGTACTTGAGGACCATTATAAGATGGGGGAGGGATTCCCCAGGGGGTCCCAAGATGAGGGAAGGAATTCCTGGGGACCAGGGAAAGAGTGAATAATATTTATCTGGAGTGAATCTGACCTGTTTGGGTGGGTCCAATTTGGCTCCCTAGAACCTACAAGAATCCTTTGAGTTTGTGAAAACATAAGTAGTAGACACATTGGCAGCATATTTATGTTAGAAGCAACATGGCTGAAAGCATTAACATTTTTAAAACTGACAGATATTTTAGGACAATGAAAAGTACCTTAATTTTGACTTTGTACTTATTGTATAGTGGGATAATATGATGTTTTGCACTCTGTCAGAGCTGGATTAGTAGCTTATTAAAACTTTATTGATTAATGTAAAGACTATGAACAGTAGCATAATGAGAAAGAGACAAATCTGGAACATGTTTCATTCTTTTGAATGTCTCAACTCGCTTTTTTTGTCATGACTTAAGCCTTTTTATCCTCAGACCTTCTTAACTTTAGTTTATCTACCTTACATTACCATCTTAGACCTTCTATTCTCAGACCTTTATAACTCTCATATTTAGACCTTCACACACTTTACACTTTCCAATCTTCACATAGATAAACCTTAAAATACCTGTTCCTGAAATCTGTTCTGCTTTAAGCTGGCAAAGTCATCAAAGCATCAAAAGCATCAGTTTTTGAGAAGGATAAAATTTTACCTGAGTTAATTAATAACAAATAACAGAGACTTGCCAGCTGGTTGCATGTACAGCCATCCCAAGGTCCTTCATAGTTGTTGAGGGCAATGGCTTTAAGGACACCTGTCTTCTGCTGATAGCATGCTACCTGTGGATTAGGAGTAGTAGAAAGATTTGCCTACCATTGGCCCAAGCAACGTGGAGAAAGTCAATTCCACTGTCCTCTTATCTGCGGTCTGAAGAGTTCTTTTGCAGTAGTTGAGGTGAAAGGCAGGGTTTCTCAGTGGCTAGCGTTGCTACTTTTTGTGGGTGGAGTTTCTTCAGTGCCCACCAGTCTTCTTGGAGGAAATGGGGTGGAGCCAGAAGCTGGCCTGTCTCTCTATTATAAAAAACTTTTAAATAAAACATTTTAAGTGCCATATTCTCTAGATCTCTGAGCATTTGAGGACTGTCTGTCTGTTTAGTATATCTCAGCAGACAAAATTTGTCTTTAGTTCCTTGCCTTAAGCACATAGGTGGCTACAGATTAGTGTAGGATCTGTCTGGAGAACTGGATTGAAGCTGAGAGGCTATGGAGGGATGTTTTAATTAGAGCACTCTAGCCTGAGTGTAGCTGGTTTTAAGTTAGTAGGTT